ATCTAGCCTGCAGTGGATTGGACTGCAAGGGAAACAACACAAGGACCTTGTCTCCTGGTTTAAACTCACGGCTTCTAGCCTTATGATCATACCAAGTTTTCATTTTTCCCTGACTTGATTTCAAGTTCTCTTTGGCTAGGTCACAAGCTGCACGCAGTCTTTCCCTGAACTTGCTAACATAGTCGAACAGACTGATATGCGACTCTTTCTCTTGCCATTGTTCACTCAACAATAGCAAAGGTCCTCTCACTTCATGGTCAAACACTAGCTCAAACGGACGGAATCCAGTAGACTCCTGCACTGCCTCCCTAGCTGCAAACAACAGCAAATGAACACCTTCATCCCAGTCTTTCTCAGGGTCATCACAATAAGTCCTTATCATTGCCTTGAGAGTGGAATGAAACCGCTCTAAGGCACCCTGACTCTCTGGATGATAGGCACTGGAAAGAATCTGCTTCGCACCTAGTTCATACACAACCTGCTGAAACAATCCGGAAGTGAAATTGCTACCTTGATCTGACTGAATTTCCCTGGGAAGGCCAAACAACGTGAAGAACTTTATCAAAGCCTTCGAGGCTGCAGTTGCCTTGATGTTTGCGTGAGGTATGGCTTCAGGGAATCTGGTAGATGCACACATGATTGTCAACAAGTACTGATTTCCAGATCTAGTCTTGGGTAATGGACCAACACAATCAACAATGACCTTGGAGAAGGGCTCCCCAAATGCTGGGATAGGCTGCAATGGAGCTACAGGTGGGTCTAACTGGTGTTTTCCAACTACCTGACAAGTGTGACAGGTTTTTGCAAAAGTTGGAAACATCTTTCTGAAGTCCAGGCCAGAAGAAGTTTTTCATGATCTTGTCAACAGTATTGTTAACACCAAGATGACCTCCTAAAGGCAAACCATGAGCCATTTTTAAGATCTCATTCCTCTAGACCTTCGGAACAACAATTTGCTTGACCACTGCCCAATCTGCATTGGCAGGGATATCAGGAGGGTGCCACTTCCGCATCAATGCTCCATCCTTGAGATAATACCCAACTGGAACTGTGTCTATTTCTTCATTAGGAAGGGCTCTCTTCTTTAATACACAAATTTCAGGATCATTGGTTTGCTCCTGAATCAACCGCTTTCTGGACAGAGACAAGTGTCCAGACACATCAGAATCACCAGACCCATCTAGCTGGCTGAACAGAGAACTGATAAAAGTGTCTGATAAGTCCTCAAACGGAGAAACCATAGTAGGCTGAACAGAGTCATGAGGCGAACCACCTGAGTCATGACTATTCAATGTGCTGGACGGCACCACATCATCTTCTTCTTGAGCCTTCTTGGCCATAGCACGGGTCACTGCACAGGAAGGATACAGAGATGGGTCTTCATCGCCATCTTCAGTGCTCGGCTGTGAAGTAAGATGAACAGGGGGAACTACATTGCCCCCAGCCAGGTCATTGCCTAGCAACAGAGAAACACCCTTGATAGGTAGACTTGACATAAGTCCCACCTTTACCGGTCCTGTAACTAAATCTGACTTCAAGAATACAGAGCGCAGGGGTACAGATACAGTCCTCCCTTCAATACCTTGTACAAGTATGAAATCCCCAGAAGCGGTCTCATCACGTAACTCCAAGGAGTCCATCAACAAAAGTGACTGAGAAGCTCCCGTATCCCTTAGGATATATATGGGGACAGGAGGAGAATGCCTATTCAGAGCCACAAATCCCTCTGACTCAAATGGAAGAAATTCCTCCCTCACAAAGTCAGCAGTATCAGGCTTCTTAGCCTCACAAGGAGCAGGCAATTTAGCAGATCGGTCATCTACTACAGGGGTTTCTAACCTTGTCTTCACAAAGGCATTGGGTTTGGTATCCTTTTCTTTTTTTCTTTCTAAGCTTTTAAGGAACCAACAGTTAGTTGTAACATGACCAGATTTCTTGCAATAATTGCAAAAGTAGACCACTTTTGTCACTGTCAGCTTTCACACTTTGATCAGACCTTTGACTGGATTTCTGAGCACCATCACCAGATTTGTCTTTGTCTTTGGGTGAGGAATCTTGGGTATCACCATTACCTTTCTTCTGAAATTGGGACCATCTATTGTTACTGCTAGACTGAAATTTGGACTTATGTGTGAGAACATATTCGTCTGCAAACTTGGCAGCTGATTGCAAATTCAGTGCTTGCTTCTCATTAAGGTAGGTCTTAATATCATCCTTGACACAGTTCTTGAATTCTTCAACTAACACCATCTCTTTTAGTGAGTTGAAATCATCCTTGACCTCCATAGAAGTACACCAGCGCTCAAAGCAAACCTTCTTCTCGTTAGCAAATTCCACATAAGTCTGATTGTCAGATTTCTTCAGACCTCTGAATTTCTGTCGGTAAGCCTCTGGAACCAACTCATAAGCTGTCAAAATAACCTTTTTGACAACCTCATAATCAGAGGAATCATCTGCAGACAAAGCTGAATAGGCTTGTTGAGCTTTTTACCCTTGAGGACAGTTTGCAACATCAGAGGCCAGTGTTCCTTTGGCCACTGAAAACTCTTAGCTACCTTCTCGAAGCACTGGAAATACTTATCAACCTCCTTCTCCGAGAATGGAGGCACCAGCTTTACCTCCTGGCTAGCCCGAAATTTGTTTTCAGCTTCCATTTTAATTTTTAGTTGCTCCATTTGGAGCCTTTCTTCTCTGTCTAATTTTTCTAAATCGAAATCTCTCTGTCTCTCTCTCGCTTATTCTGCTCTTTCCACTTTCTCTCTCTCAAACTGCCTTTCTTTCTCTCTTTCTGCTCTCTCAAACTCTCTTTGTTTTTTTTTTTTTCTTTCTGCTCTCTCGAATGCTCTTTCCTCTCTTTCAATCTCTAGCATTTTTAATTTAAGTTCCATTTCTACATTTGGATTTTCCACTGGAAACTGTTCCAGATCTCCTGGTGCAAATACATTTTCATCAATGTAATATTCAACAATCTCTCTAGCCAGTCTTGCTTTTTGCATGGCTGGTTTTACATCTGTCAGCTCTAACTGTCTGCATATTTCTAGCAGTTCTGTCTTTTTAAAAGACTTCAAAACCTCTACGGTTGGTGATGCTAAGAAATCATCCATTGCTGTTGATCTGTCAATATAGATCTAGGAAAATTCAAAAACAATTTCACAATTTGAAATTTTAGATTTTCAATAAATGACTACGCAGTGGTCTATCCCGGACGAGCCCCCACTTTATTATGGCCCCAATTTGTTATGGCGTCCATTTGTTATGACGTCACGGACAGCAAGGGATGACAGACAAAATTCTTAAACTTCAACAGATTTAATTAAACAAACACTTAGAACTAATCTACAATCTACCCTACTGACCAAGATTGAAATAAAAAAAAGAGATATTTACAGTCCCCTGGTAATTGAGATGGGCTGCTGTGTTGCGATGTCCTGGGACAGGAAAATGCTCCAACACAGGCAAAAATCCACAAAAAGCTTCACAGGTCTTGAAAAGAGTGACAGGTCTGGTCAAATGTATCCTTCCACAATTTCTCCTTGCAATTTCTCCTACTACCTTTCACTCTCAATTTTTCTCCGTATATACCCTTTTCCAGCCCCCTCTGAGGCATGCCCAGGACATGCCCAACCTAGCTCCAGACTTGGCTTAACAAAAAAAATGTCAATACTGCATCTAGTGGCTTTTTTTTTCCACATTACACTTGGTAGATCCTCCAATTTGTAATGACTTAAAAATCACAACAAAGAAAACCAGCAATGACAACTTAAACAAATTTATTCTTCACTGATAAAAAAAAAAAACTTCTCCAAAAAATCCACTGTTTAATCTTATAATAACACTCTAATGCCACTATATAACTCTGTTGCCAAAACAAAAACTCTGCCTCCACTGACCAAATTCACAGCATTTATATTGACTAGCAACATTCTGGAAAGATCTACGGGATTCCTGGGTAATCCTGCCCCGTCCAGGCAGGAAGATGCCAGAAGCTTCTAGAAAGCACTAGTCTATTTCATTACAAGGGAGGGGGTATTGCATCAGATCATATTTTGCTACAGACATACCACCAGAGGGTGCTGATGAACAAAATAAATAGCTGACCAGCAAGGCAGCAAAAACAGCATGTAACAAATCTCCATTTACAAATGATATACAGTGCTTTAAATAAGATACTCATACATAACACACGACAATAATGTATTCCGGCTCAACCATACAATACAATACTCACCATACAATACTAAATGTAGGCTTAAATTGTAAACTTGGGCCTACTTTCTACTATCCCAGTTTATCATCAGAAGTTTTTCAAAACTTGAATGAGGCTGAAGGTTTTTATTTTTTTTTTACAGTGGGAATACCAGTTGGCTGCCAACATCCTCTACATATTGGACCAAGTAGATGAAAGTGAAGTTGCTGTATCCTAAACATGTAAACTATGGTAAATGCTGATTTTCAGCAGTTTCTTGAGGAGAAAAAAACTGAATAAACTAACATAAACATTGGTTTTTTGTGGGTGTTTTTAGGTGGTTTTGAAAAAAAAAAAAAAAATAAGATTGGGGGCTATTTCGTGGATGCGGGTTCTGATAACCCAGGATTTTTCTATTTGGTCTAACTTACTTCTGTGGAAATGTTGCAAGGTTTTGGATCATTTGGTCCAGGAAATGCTATCTGTGATTCTCTTGCCATTGATGCTGTAGCAGACTTCGAGACAGAAGAATACGCATGGTCCTTGGCAATGGCTTGTATTATTTCATCCATGTCAGTTTGCGTAGAAGTATCTGCAAATATAAATTAGAAAATTAGAAAAGTCACATGCTACATTTTGGTAGCGCAGATCACTCTCACTACTGCAGCCAGTTTCCCAAAAGGACAGAAAAGCTGCCATAGTGTATCATGGATCTAGGTAACTGTAAGAGACTTTGAACTCCAAAACCAGGTCAAATAGTAAAGTTCTTTTCTAAAAAAAATAAAAAATCAGTCCACCAAATTATGCATGTGAGGAGTTGATGTAGCCTAGTGGTTAGGGTCTCGGCCTGTGACTCAAAAGACATGGGTTTGATTCCCAGTCAGTGCATTTCACTTGTGGCACTGGGCAGGTCACATTGCCTCACCGTACCCAGCGGTGTTAAAGGGGACCTGACTGCAGTACGATGACTGGTGATGTACTGGATGAGCAGCTCCCATGGCATTTTACCCATTAGGGGAGAGGTGTTGGTATTGGGAATGTAGAGGCTGACAACTGGTGTAAATGGTTTCTTAATGTAAAGCGCATTCCGGTTCAAAAAGAACTGGATACTGCGCTACATAAGACTCATCAATATTTTGTCATAGCTCTCCATTTGTTACTTTATGCCTGCAACATGCACAGTGGACTTCTTGTTGTTGTTCAGACATAGATGTATTGTCATCAGTGTCAGTCACGTCGGGGCTGCTTGAAGTATCTCCAGTTAGATCACTGTTGCCTTCAACTTCCAGTGCATTGCTAGCCTAAGGGGGTCCAGGCTCAGGGATAGATTCTGCTGCTGTAGGAACACGGTCACTTTCAGCTGAGAGTAGGTTGTCTAATAACTGAAATGAGAAATGAAATGAAATTAAGGGGTCTTTTCAAACACCAATTTCTATACTTGCTACTAGCCTGTTATAGTGATGGGCAGTTTGATTCTTTTCAAAGAATCGGCTCTTTCGAGTTGATACATGTAAATGCGTTGAACCTTTCGAGTTTTCAAGGGGGGGGAAGAAAAAAAAAACAACAGGCTGTTGAGTCATTAATATATAAATAACGAACTTTTTGAAGACGTCATGCAGGCTCTCTAGCTAGTGTGCCACTTTTCCTCATGCTTTTTTGTTTCCTCATTTTTCATAGTTCGCCATTGTTATTAAAGAAGAGTTTGCGACCCTAATGTATGAACTGTAGTCTATACAGTTTTATTATTCTTCTTCTGATAATAATAATAATAATAATAATAATAATAATAATAAAATATTATTATGCCGGTGGTGTTGAACATTCTGCTTTTGGTATCCAAAATCATCAGACTCAAGTCATTATGTAATTGTGAAGTCATTTCTATGTAGGTCTAACACAATGTTACAGAAATAAATGTCGTTCTTCCTGCAGTGGGAAAGAAAGCAGACGAGCAGACATCCGAGTTTCAGTGACTGGCTCATTTCAGTGAGTCTCGTTCAGTGAGTGTAGCTGTGCCAGGCAGGGTGGACTTGACTCCAATTCAGTCGCTTATCCTTCTCGTTCATTTGATGTTGCTCAGAGTAACTGTCTTGAGTGTCGAGATGACTTGATTCACTCATTGACTTCCTCATTTGAAAAAAAAAAAATCCTCGGCTGCGTCTCAATTCGCATATAACAAAATGCCCTGTTAACACGCTGATACTGTACCAAAAAAGCATGTTAACATTGCAGTATATGGAGTCTTAAGACACTGAAATACAACGTTTTAATGCTGACGTTAAAAAAGACGTTTTGGACTAAATGGCGTTCCATAGCAAGGTTAGGACGCAAGTGTACAGAATGAAGATTTAGGCCCAATCCCAATTCTTATTTTCAGGCCTACCCCTACCCCTTGCCCTAGCTTCATCCCTTGAAACGGAGCTGCTGAGGGTAGTGGTTTAAATATTCCCCGATGAAATGGGACAACCCTTCGAGACCCTGATACGTCATCAGTAGTCGTCCGTCGCGCAACAAATAGACGCATAGAGTTTGTTTACAGAAAAATTCCCAATGCCATCTGAAACTGTGGGCATCTCGCTTGCCTGGGCTATCGGCATATTTTTTGGTTATTGGCAGTGAACAGTAAAAATGCGAAAAGACGACACGTCCGACGCTTGAGAATGCCGATGAATCAACTTGAGGAATGTAAAAATAGACCGCAAACAAGTTTTGTAGTTTGCCAAATGTTTGCTTATGCCATCACGTCGTAACTAATTTTGGATCAACTTGTTTTCATACACACGTAATCGCAAATAAACCTTTTTTTTCCCCATTAGTCTGCTGATTGAGCGATAATCTATAAGCAGGGATAATGAAACGGAATACCGTAGCTACACATGCATTTTATGTATGCTCGGAACCTAATGAGCTGCCGGGAATTCTCTGGAGTCCCTGCAATGACAGAACATGGGAATGTCAAAGAAAAAAATGATATAGCTTGCCTTATAAAGGCTGTAAACCCAGATTATTTGAATAACTGGCGTGTAAATTTTGTAGGGCATGAAAGGATGGGCAAATCATGCTGAAAACAGCCAAGATTTTATTCAGGCACGATTTTTCTAATCTGCCTCCCAACTATGGCAATGATGGTATTATTTCTTTGACAGAGATGGAAATAGCATGAACGCTTCATTCGCAACTCACGCGTTTCATGTTGTTAATCGATCGTAAATCTTAAAATAAAAATGATCATGGCTTGATGACTGACAAATGGTGCTATGTTCCAGAGATCCGCGCTCTTACTCTGCCAGTGCGCACTGATACTGGGGGAGCGGTAACGTGCAGCAACTTCACTGCTGAACATAAGTTACATTTTGGGTATCTTAAAATGCAGCACTGTCAAGCAAAAATCAGCCTCATATTAATGCCAACTTTAGCTATTTAGCTAGAGGCATGAGCAGACACACGTACACTACTAGTGATTTTTGTTACGTTTGTTACAAACAAACTGTCCATAAAATATTAAAACGCAACCAAACCAAGGTGATCCAGTGGTTTTCATATTTTATTTACCAAGGAATTATTTACATTTATGCATTTCTTTCGGTGCCTCTGTGGCGTTGGTAACCATCTTGCCGATGATCCGCGAGGTACTGTGGAGACTTGTCTTACCCCTCCGTTTGTAGTGTGCCCCTGAAAAATCTCCGTTTGAAGGGGTAGGTAGCCCTACCACTTCACCCTACCCCTCTGTCTCAACCACAGAGATATATAATAGAACTAGAGAGAACGAGGAAGTACCTTTGCTTCAGCCAGTTAGCATGTTAGCTTCCTGTTTCTGCGTTTCCCAAGGATGCAATTTTGTGGCCAAAGACGCGTCAGCTCCATAGACACCAGTTGAAAAGTGCACATTTTTTTCTTGCCAAATAAAGCGAAAACAAAAGAAAATGTATTCCGTAATCCTTCATTATTTTGCTTTTTGCCTGACACAACTGTTCCATGTTTTCAAGAGGGCCTGTAAATTAAGAACTGATCAGAACTAATCAGATTGGCAATCTTATGAAATGGTGCCGGAAATAAGCACCCATGGAATGCCATTTTTATAGATGGCGTCGGTCAATTCCGTACTTCCTGGGCTGAAGTAGCTAGCCTAGCATCTACCATTGAAAGTAATAGGGGCGGTACTTCCTCGCTGTCTCCAGTTCTATTATATTACCTCCATGGTCTCAACAAGTATCGGGACATCACGACCCTACACATGAACGGGCAAAACGAAGGGGTAAGGCTAAGGGGTAGGGCTAAGTAGTGGGGCCAAGGGGTGAAATGGGATTTGCGAATTGCGATGCAGCCCTCGTCTGATCCCCGCTCGTTCATTCGTTTTTCTGCTTTTTCGAGCGACTGCAGTACCGTAGCAGCTGGTGAGCAGTGCGGGTGGGCGAGTGTAACTGGTGGGAGAAGTCAGGGATTCACTTTAGTTCTCTGACATTTGACAGGCTGATGCGGAACTTATCAGACACTAGAAACAGTCGTTAAAAAAGATCAGTTCGTTCATTTTTGCCCATCACTAGCCTGTTAACACATCCATAATCATGGAGCAAGGCACAAGCCTTGAACTTCATTTGCAGTAGGTCCTAGTAAAGTAGGCTTGTTGCCAAAATCATGTGGCAATGGTAGCATGTAGGCCAACAATGCCAAATAGCCTATAATACATACCTTCCTCCTATTCCTGGCGGCGTAGATTGCCCTATGTCTAACACTTGCCCGGGATGATTTCTCGATTGGCCGAATAAGAGTTGATGGAGGGCTAGATTCAGTGAAGATTGATGGCACTGCAACGTCACTCAGTATCAGATAACTTGCAAAACCCATGGAATGCTTTTTCAGATTATTTGAGTAGTCCTCCGGGTACCTGAAGTGTTCACTACACACACGGGCCTGTTAATCTTTGGGTTCGGGACGTGCACATTTCGCAAGCCACTGTGTCCGTAAATGCTTCCTTTTCTCACCAGCTGGCAACTTGTAAAATCTAACATTTTGCGGATTGTTTCTATCCGAAACAGTGCAGTGCTTTGCGATACAATACGGCATTTCACAATGAAATGACGGACAAAGGAAACCAAAGGAACACCAGTTAAAAAGTGGCCATTACTTCTGTCAATACGCACAACTGACGTCACTTCAGTTGAGATCGGTCATGTGACTGGACGAAATGGCTGCGCCCATGAGAGTATTAAAATTTCACTAAGTAATCGGCTTAAAACCACACAAAATGCTATCGGATAGCAATGAAATTTTGAAAAACTAACAAAAGCATTACTGTATTAATCTATTGCTGAATTGTTGTATTAATTCATTATATATACAAATGCATTAATAATCAAGTATTAATTGATATTAACTGAAACAATGTATTAATAATCAAGTATTCACTAAAGCAGTGTATATCTGAGTGAATTGTGCTGTAACCCTCTTTGTCTTCTCCATCTGGGATTTTCTACTGCTTGCAGCAGAGACTTTTTGTTCCTCTTATCTAAAGAACACAGAAGTACTAAATTTAAAGTCAGGAGGTGAACCATAGTTGAAGTCTCGGCCTAACTGCAAGCTGAAATTTATAGCAGCAGCTAGACAATGAGTAAGGAGAGAGGAAGTAAACAGAACATTTTTAGTATGAGAAGGGGCATAACTAACTGTTGGATCTCATGGAAAACTGAGCTGATCAGGTTTATGTATTGTAAGGTGAATGGATGACGTAAAAGCCCTCCCCGCAGAATAGGGTACTATAAAGATTGAACTGATGAGAAACTCGGGGCTGCTCTCAGCCCTATGGTCCTCTACGACCAGAGATTCTGTACTCACAGAAGCTTTTGTTCATCTGAGTATTCTTCTTTCCAACTCTTTGCTAAAGATCATCG